CACCTAGCTATGAAAGAAAAAAGAAAGGAATCTCGTTGTATCAAGCCCAGTTAGGCGAATGCATGTCAGACATTGATCCTTACTTTTTTTTTTTAAACAGAACCTTTATTGTGGCTGTTTCAGGTCTAAAATATGACCTTAGTTGCACCATATTCAAGGCAACCTTTGCAGACATATTTAGTTCCTGATACTAAAGCAGTGAGCAGAGCCCTGAATGGTGTAGTCAGCTACACCAGTCTGTGAAGCTCTCTTCATGTAACTACATCACTATTAACTCAGTGACAGTTCTGAAGCATGTCAAAACTGAGCTGTCAGGATTCCCACTAACAATCATAGCCATGTTTGTTTATGTAACACTGTTTCTGCCAGCACTTTCTGACATGTTTAGTTATTCTTTAACTGGGAAGGGATGCTGCTTTAAGAAAGATGAGAGCAGGTTTTATCATTCTAAGAAATACTCTGTGGCTCGTAGAAGTATTGACATAAAGAGTGCTGAAAGATTAAGAACCAAGCCCTTCATTCAAGGTATAAAAGCTTCAGTTTATTTCTTTAATGTGTCCACACATCTTTGAAGAATACTCTGCTCGATGTGTGTGAAGTTATTCATCATATTAAATAGAAATGTTGCTGTGCACACTATTCCACTTTCATGAATTATTCAGACTTCAGCACTTTAGAGTGCTGTTGCATACAATTATTTCTAAACGAAGAGAAACCCCAAAATGTTGTTTTCCCTCTGACAGTCAGTCATATCTTGTGTTGCCTTCTGCTCTTCCAAATGGATGCCGTCTCCTTTTCCAAAGGCTGACCACGAAAAAGGAGAAGATGAACTTCCAGAGCAGTCGGAGGCGAGGAGAGGAAGGCATCGCTGTAGTGATTGACTTTCTGCTGTCTAATGCCCGGCTGGTTCTGGGAGTTGGAGGTGCGGCTCTGCTGGGGATTGCTACACTGGCAGTGAAACGGGTGAGTGCTTTTTGAGCACAACATCTTTCCCAAGCCCAGTGAGTATGGAAATATTGTGTATCTAAAGGGATGAATGACAGATTCCTCATCATTTGTTCATCATTTTTGCCTTTTCTCGCCTTTATACATCACTCTTGTAGCTGCCAGTAACAATAATTTTAAATTCTGATCTAATAATATAATATAATGTATGTGATTCTGAAAAAGATCATTATGCACAATGAGTACTTTTACTTAATGTACTTTAACTGTGTTGCAAAAGGGATGAAACAAGTAAAAGTAATAGTGCAAAATCTGAATTTTGCACTATTACACATGGATCTAAAAATCATGCCTTATGGCATCTCTCCCCATTTTCTTTGCTGTTTTTAGGTCAGTGTTAAATATTATAATCTCTTATGATTCTTTCACCCTCATCTATGCTAAACCATTTTTAAAAAAATAAAAATAAAAATCTTACATGCACTTTGGACTGCACAGGTCCTGAGAATGGTTCTGTCTATCAACGTTTATTTGCCTGTGGGTTGTGATGGTGTATGTAATTGTATTTGTGGAGTGTACTCATGGCTGCACGTCTGTGACAATGAGTGTTTTCATTCAGCTGATAGAGCGCGCAGGCCGCGCAGCAGATGACGAAAAGGTGGAGCAGAAGATGGCTGAGAGCTGGGAGGAGTTGAGTTTGGTCTCTGCTTCCCCAACACTCATCAGGAAGGGCATAGAGGGTGTGGTGATGAAGCATGTCGCCAAGGCAACCAAACAGCAGAAAGGTATTTGAGCGACTGAAAGTGGGCACACAAATACACAGAACGTATCCTGTGTGACACCGTCTGTTATTATATCACAGCTGTTCTCTTTTCACTCAGCTGATCTCTGCCAGCAGCCTCAGATGCTGGACGTGCAGACTAAACCGGAGTCAAAGTCCAAGAGGCTCCAGCTGTGCGCCCTGACTTTGCAGGTACACTCTGACACTTCACCTCTGAGCCCTTGAAGAGAGAGAATATGAAGTCTCAGCAACTGCTCTGTAGTTCCTCTGCTGCTGTTGGCTCATTTATGTATGCGCGTCCAGCATGTTTTGTTAAGTGCAATGCTTAGGGGATACATATTTATTATGCACTATTAGGCTGACAGAGGCCCAAGAGCCCTGCCAATTCAAAAAACAGTGTGTGCTGGGCAAGCAGAAGATACAGAAGAAGTCAGACAAGCATGACATTGCTCTGAGGTATTGTGCATAACATCCACATAAGCAGAGAAATTAGTATAAGATAATAATTTCTTCAGTAAATGTTAGCAGTGCTTTTAAATGGTCAAATCAAGAGTTGCAGTATGAACTTTGGGAGTTTCCTTGCATGATGACTATAAATAGACATAGATGTGTTAGAACAAAGTAGGGAGTATTAAAACTGATTTTAAATCATGTGAACTGTTCAGGAGCGTCTGCAGCAGTACTACCACACAAGGGCGGCGCTCTCTCCCCAGGAGGTGCAGAGGGCTCAGTCTGTGGCTCTGGACATCTGCACTGAGATCCAAGGTTTTCTGCACAGCCGTCACCCAGACATGCCTCTGGGTGATATGACACTCGGCGGTTCTCTGCTGGATGATTTGCAGGTATACACAACAGAAATATATTTCCCGCTGATGAGAAACGAGCCTCTGATTTTGTCTAGCAACATCTTGGAATTGTTTTGTTATGTGCTGGTCTTTAGGTGGTCAGTGCAGACCATGCGTGCCTGCTGGTGCCTCTACAGCTGGAGTCTTCTCTGTGGCGTCTCATCCCAGGAGAGGAAACGTTGCTCACACATCCTCTGCACTGGATGGTCCGACGGATCAATCTAGAATATTTTCCCAAAGGACGCAGCTACTGGGACAGGTGATCACCACACATTTTTTTTTATGTCTGTATTAAATCAAACACATGTGCAGCATATTAATATAGTGTATTGGCCTCCACTTTCCATTTTAGAAGCAAAATTAATAGAATTTGGGGGGTTTTTGAGACGCTATTAAATGGATGAAACAAGGGTCTCTACTTGTGTCTTGCAGGTATTTGGTGGGCGGCTATCTGTCTGCAGAAGCTGTTGTGAACATGTTCAGTAAGGCTGTCATGGAAACTGTGAACTGGCCGTCAATCAGCAGCACTTTGGACTGTGTCGTCAGACCTGTACTAGGAGGACCTGACCTGAGATTGGAGATCCGGTGTGTGCCCATGCTTAACTGCTGATTTGTTGAAAATTGTGTTTTTTTTTTTAAATAGTAACATGATGTATTTAATAGTTCACTGCTGACATTACTTAATTAATACAGTTTGATATTGTATGACGAAGCGCACACACCATTCTTGAAATGAGTCTCTGGATCTAGAAAGATGTATTAGTCCAGATTAGTTTGTGATATACGCTCAAAAGGTATAAATATTTATAAATATTTATATTTGATGCAAGATAGACCTAGCTTCACCCTCAGTATAATTTTCATTCAAACCTGAGTTTATGAGTAATCCAAGAAATAAACATACTAACAAACTGAGTGATGGGTATAACTAAGAAAATAATAAACTCTACAGAAATGTCTGTTTGCATTGAACTGACACTCCTGTTGTCATGCTGCAGGCCTGGAAATGCAGTCGAAGGAGCAGAGAGCGACTATCAGCCCTTGTTTGTCTCTATGTTGCCTCTGTTGAGCGAGGGCGATGTGGTTCTGACCGCCCAGCCAGAGTTTACGTCTCCTTGGGTGAACGCCTGGCGCCTCTCTCTCTACCCGTGGGAAACTCAACGTCTGGCTCAGCTTGATGCAGCCGACAACGGCTACCGCAAACACACCCTTAAAATCCTCAAAGCGGTGTGCAGACAGAACCCTGCCCTGCGACCGCTCAAAGCCACCCCGCTGGCCAATCTCATCCTGCACCTTAGCGACTCTGAGAGCGACTGGTCCGAGACCAGCTTGGATGTAAGATTCCAACAATGTATCACAGAGCTAATTGGCTACCTCGAGCAAGGGGCGCTGCACAGTTACTTTAAACCAGCCGTCAATCTGCTGAGCGGCTTGTCAGAGGACCAGGTGGACCAGATGGGCTTCATGTTCTACTGTGCTGTGTCAGAGCCGGAAATACTGCTTATTTAATGCTGCACACCCACAGCATGTCAGTTCTCTCAAGCTCTGACATGCAGAGATCAAAGGAATAATCTTATCTGTGATGTCTGGTTCAAGGCTCCTTGTCTAGCGCCTCCATATTTGACACAAATGAAAAGGGCACAGTTGCTGTGGCATAATGGCAGGCACCATGGTTTGATGTCTACGCTGGTGGAGGAGACGTTACAAGGAGGCTGCAGATTTGCCAATCAGGCTAAACAAGGCACTCTGAGGAAAAGAGACAGGCAAAGAGTTGAAAAAATATTTGTCAGAATGTCTGAAATGGTGTGTCAGACCTTTAGATTTGTGTGGTGTCTTTCCCAATTACACAGCTCAATATATCAACAGCAGAAGAGGAGAATGGCATGTTCCTTTATCCTCTGATTAACGGTGTGTGCCCTGAATCATCTTCTTAGATCACTGAAATGTTCTCTATGCAGATCAATAATAACATGATGAAAACCACCAGCTGTTGCTGCACTATCCAGTGTATCTGAGTTGGGCTTATTTAACTCATTGTGAACATTTAAATATAATGATGGTTTGAAGTGCTGAGCATTTTTCTTTGTCTTGTTTAGTCATCTGTCTGTTGAGAGTCGTTTCTGGGTATAATAACCCTTTAAATTATGCTTTGAACCTTCCTAATGATTTTATGCAGATTTTTTTTTTTTTTTTAAATACAGAGTGAATGTGGTGGGAATATTTTAATTGTGTGCTTTGATGGTCGTAAGAGAAATAGTTTTTCTGTGAGTGAACAGCAAAACTGCAAATAAAAATGAAAAGCTTTTATTTAGATTCCTGTAACTTTGTTACATTAAAAAGTGTTTTACGTTTATGAACCTATAAGGTGGCATGTATTGTGAATTTCAAATGAGTCATGGGGGTACCTCAAACCATTGCATAAGAAACTTGTTAGGCCTCTTACAATATATTCATTCAGCGAGCTGTGAGCACTGAAGCCCACTCACCTGTGGTTCAAACCCTATGTTTGTGAGGAGCAGCCTCAGAAGAAAGTTGGTTTAAGAGAAAGGTGGATTTAAAGGATAAGGGACTAAAGAGGGATGAACTTGGAGGCGGCACCAGTGCCCAGAAAAGATTAAATAAAGATAATTTTGACCTGTGTGTCATGCAAAGCTGCTCCAGTAAAACAATAAAAATATGGAGCTGGAAATAAACATAACAGGTGTCCTTTGAAATAATTTGACATGTTCTTATGTATTAACTTGTCTTTTATTTAATTCGTTTCTTTGTTAAATCCAGAAACGAATTGAACATCCTTTTCCACATATAAAATAATCAGGTCCCATCATGCCTTAAAGACCTCATAGTACCATATCACCCCAACACAGCACTTTGCTTTCAAACTACAGACTTACTTGAGGTTCATATGGACTTTTTGATAAAATTGACAAACAACTCTCTATTAGTTATGCAGCAAAAAGCTACGCTGTGTTTTTAACTGGAAACTTCCTTTTAAAAGGAGGTTTTCTTTTCCACTGTTGCCAAGTGCTTGTTCATAAGGGGTCATCTTTGTTAGGGTTTTCCTGTGGTAGGAACTGTTTCTAAGATTTGATGCCAAAAAAACCCTGAATTTAATAGGATTAAAAAACATATATTCTAACAGGGTTTCTGTAGGCTGAACTACTTCAGTCAAATTAAGTGTCGATCCTCTGTTTTTAAGGTAGTATTTCTAATATGAGCAAGCTGACTTCTATTTTAATCTCTACGTATACTTTTCTAAACCTAATGCAATGTCTTAGTTTTATTGTTCAGATTCAGCCGTGTTTTGTGTTGGGTGTAGTGTGATGCAATTAGAGTAATAATAGTGATAAACATTATTTATGTAAGACCTTTAAGTCCTTTGACAAATACACAAAATTAGAAAACAAAATTTGGATAAAACCAGCCAAATATTAAAGACACAAAAAAGTGCAGTAGACAATACAACAAAAGACACTGCATTATTGTGTAGACATGTTAAGTTAAAAAAAAGTGTGCTTCCATTAAAATAAATTCAACAGATAAATAAAATGACTGGTTAGTATAATATAATTCAGGCTTTAAAACAATCAGAGCGTTAAATCAACACTGTACCACACACCGATAATGACAAGCTTCATGAACACATGAGTTCATTTTGCAGCTTGTATTTGTCTGTAGGTGCCCTCTTGAGTTGAAACCAATGACCGGAAGTGTTCATTATCGAGTCTGGCTGTAGTGCGGACCTCCCGCGGGGCTTCACATTAAAAGCACCCACTTTGACGTCTCAAGGAACGGGAGTGTCTCGGCGTCTTTCCCTGCGGCTGCCCGTCACAAGGTTAAATATTTGCAAAGAGGCACAGGTCAGATATGCGACAACGAGGCACATGTTTTAGACTCAAAGTTAGCTTGCTAATTGCGAGAAAAAGAGGAACACGTATCCCGGGAGAAGGTCAGCAAACCGTGTGACTTGAGCCCGCAGGGAACTTTCGCTTCTCCGTCGACTTTTCTGTGCTGCGTGTTTGTGGAAACGCCGCTTGTTTGCGCTGAAACGCAGTGGTTAGGAGGACCCACACTGACGTTTCAATCTGGTTAACTTTCAATAACATTATAGTTTTGTTGCAACAAACAATTGCGCAACTGTTTTTATTTTTTTATTTTTTTTTGCCTCCTTGTAGCGGTTGTTGTTGTTGGGTCCCGTGTGAACAGCTGACTCACGGACTGTAGGCTGGGCGGCACCGGGACATGGCGGTGTTTGAGCCCGTAGCCTGCTCTTCCTCCCCTGCGGAGTAGATCAAAGGTACTCGCTGATACCCTCCTGGGGGCTGACCCTTCACCGAGTCAAGATGATCGGGTCACCGGACCTGCTGGCCTTCACCAGCACGGAAGGCTTTGGGGGAGAGGAAGACGAGCAGGAGACTCAGGGTCTACCTGAAGAGCTCTCTGTCCCTCGCTTCCCCTCTTCTCATCCCTGGAGCACAGCAGCACAGTTTCACAGAGACTTCATATTGGTGGCTGAGTTCTCAGAGCAGGTGTGTTTGCTTCATTCAAACAAAAACTGCTGGTTTCTTACTGTGATCGCACTTGTTTTAAACGGGATCCCATGTTTTTGGGGGGTTATTTTCTGTCTATATAGTTTTAACAGGGTGGATTCTCATAAACACTAAAAAAGGCTTTGAATAATGGGGTCCGTACACCTGCAGGTAATCCCCGTGTGCTTGATATAAAGGTGTATGAGGCATTGGAGAAGGGGTAGCTTTAATATGGTCACCTTATGCACAATCAGTCAATCATGGTATGAGCTGAGGGGCTACATCAAGTGTAGGATAATGAAAGATTATTTTGAACTGTTATGTGAAGCTATTTTACAGTTAAATAATACAAATATGGAGCTTGTAAAGTGTCAAATGGGATACGCCAAAGTTGGACCCCCATATTTACTGATTCTCCTTCAGAAACAATAGGTGTTGAAGTATTGCAAACCCATCTGCTAAAGATTATTTTGTAAAAAAAAAAAAAAAGTTTAAGTACATTTATAAATTCCCAGAAGAAGGCTAAAAACAATCCAGGCCTAGGTTTATAACCCTGCTTTATCTGCATTAAGGTGCATAGGTATTATAATAGCACGGCATCACTTGTTACACACATATAATCAGGCTGCATTCTCTACAGTGCAACCATGTTTACTCCAATACAAACAATATATTTCCTGCTGTTTTCTAGATACTTATGCATCACTGTGTTGCAGCAGATAGTGAGTTGACGTTTATTCATTCAGGAAGTCTCTTTAAGATTAAGATCTTTTTGTCAAGACAGAACTACTGAATGATTAACAGGAAATACTCTCCAAGTCAATCACACAAACGAGCCACCTCTCACACAGAGGGACGCCGAATCAAAAAGTTACAAATATTAAATTAGCAAGTGCAACTTCCCACATTGTTGCGTATCTGTAACCGGAAGGTCGCTGGTTCGATCCCCGGGCTCTCTGTCCTGGTCGTTGTGTCCTTGGGCAAGACACTTTACCCTACCGCCTACTGGTGTTGGCCAGAGGTTCTGTCAGTCTGCCCCAGGGCAGCTGTGGCTACAACCGTAGCTTACCTCCACCAGTGTGTGAATGCGCGAATGGATGAATAGTGGCATTGTAAAGCGCTTTGGGTGCCTTGAAAAGCGCTATATAAATCCAATCCATTATTATTGCTGGGGTTCAGTGATGAAGGATGAATAAAACACATGGCATGACATGAATACACAAAGGCAAGTAAAGACATAATATTAAAACAAAAACAACAAATGAGAAACCAGGTTTAAGCATTTATGGTAATATTAGTCTTAATTTTGTCATCATTCTTTATTTCTGAAAAAGCATAAAAATCATCTGAAAACAGCTTTCTTCTGTTTATAAGGCCGCCCCTTGTAAACAAGTACATTTTAGGATGTCTGCTCTCAGCGGTATCATACAGATACACGTTCGGCAGTTTGCACCTCAGGCATGTAAAAAGTTCACGACAGTAAAATTAGAAAAAGACTCAACAAGTATTGCTTGTTTGGAAGCTTTGCCAGGAGAAAGGCTATTCTCTCTAAAGAGAACATGGCAGCAGAGCTTGTTAAGTTTGTTAGCTTTAATCTGAACAAAACGCAAGACTTCTGGGACATTTCAACAGATGAGATCAGGATGGTGATGTTTGACCATAATGCACAGCGCCATCTTTGGAGAAAACCAAACACAGGGCACCTCATACTAACTGTTAAGCACGGTGGTAGAGGGGTGGTGATTTAGGTTTGTTTCACAGCCACAGGACCTGGACTCTTTACAGTCATTGAGATGCCCATGAACTCTTCTGTATATCAAGGAATTCTAGAGTCAAATGTGAGGCTGTGTGTCTAAAAGCTAAAGCTTGGTGCAAACTGGATCGTGCTACAGGCCGATAATCCCAAGCACAGCTGCAAATCTACAACAGCACGAATAAAAAACAGAAAAAAATCAAGCTGTTTCAATGGCTCAGTCAAAGTGTGCACGTCAATCGAAATCTGTGATGGGACCTTACCATAGCTATGCAGAAACAAATGCCTGAAATTCTCAATGAACTGAAGTAATGCTACTAAGAGTGGAACAAAATTCCTGCATAATGGTGTGAGGGACTGATAAAGTCATAGAGGAAATAATTACTTCATGTTATTGCTGCTAAAGACAGTTCTACAAGCTATTAAGTCATGGGGTGTGTTGAGTTTTTCTCATGACTGTGAATGGCTTTTCTGTAGACATTTTCTTCATCTTATTTAAGGCTCTAAGAACAGAGGGTGTGGTATGCTCCATATGTGGTAAAAAAAGCCCCTGAATCAAGTTTGTGATTTTTGGACTACCTAAATAAATCCACAAATCTAAAATTAAAGCCAGATGATTAGTGACTGATTTGATTACATCTCTACAAACCCCCTGCTCTGTGTCTCCAGGTGGGTCCATCTCCTGTGCTGACAATACCGGAGGACTCCAGAGTCCTCGGGTCATTTGACCTCAACCACTTCTCTGTTCGCATCATGTCTGTGGACTACCAAGCGTCTGGCCCCGGCCACACCCCTCCATCCTCTCCCGGCCCCCGACTCAACTTCAGCGAGGACTCCAAAGTAATCCTGGGAGATTCAGCAGAGGATGCGTTTGCATATGTTCATCACCTGACGCTGTACGACCTGGAGGCTCGGGGGATGGTGCGCCCTTTCTGCATGGCCTACGTGTGCTCGGACCAGGTGAAGCTGATGGAGAACTTTTCTGAGCTATCAACACGCTTCGCTGAGGCAGCTGAAAGCCTCAAGACAGGAAACAGACAAGCATTTTCTATTGAGCTGCAGAGAAAACTACAGGAGCTCGAGTAAGAGCAGCACTTTTTACTTTGATTAAATTGGACGGTTCTGTGCAAAACTGTTTGTACTAAAATATCCAAGCCACTTACTTCTAAATATCTTTAATTTGAGCAGATTAAGAGCATGAATTGGAAGGAATAATGAAGAGAGTGAAAATGCTTCAATTTCTATCTCAGTGGTGAAAAGGGGAAGCTGTTAAAGAGGAAGCAGTCACAAGCTCAAGCATCACTTCATTTATCAAACAGGATGCTTCTTATTTTTCAGATCCTCCTGTGTGGCCTCTTGTTTATTTGGCACAGCTGCATTTAGTGATAATTTCACTGTAACTTTGAATTTCTAGCCTCAAGCTTAAGCCTAACCTGAAAGAGGAAGGAGCTGGATACCACCTTCCACTAGTAATGACTTGTAATGTGCAGGGTTGGTTAGCAGGTCTAACATTAGGCCCCGCCTTCCTTGATAACCTTTTGCTAACTTTAACCTTCTTTTTGTTAAAAGAACTGCATCCCCCAGCTAAAAATCAAATGGATTTTTAATGTAGGATCTTTTACTTTTACACAAATCCACTCACTTGCTTATAACACAGCTCTTCAGTCATCAAATCTCAGGGATGCTTTTATGTTTTAAAAAACATGTATAAACCCACATAAGTGTGTATTCAGAAATGTAGACTCAGAAGTATCTTGGGCATGGTTGTCATGGTAATTTTGAACTTTTAATGGTTTCTTTGAACTGTTCTTTTTTCAGGGTGGACGATTGTACAGCAAAAATATCTAATTCAGCTGCGCAAGCTTGAATTTATTTTGGACTTTTGATAATCTCTGATACAAACAGATTCAAGCACCCCACTTGAAAGCCTGTGGGGTGCTTGAAACAGAAGATTATTTTGGCTAAGATTGTGGCTCGTCTTCTCAAGAAATTTAGCTTTTTCCAGAAGTTTGTAGTTCATGGCAGCCTTGAAACTGTGACACCACTGTTAGTTAAACTGTTAGTTAATTAAGGGCTGCTCACCACATGTTACTCCCTGTGTTTCAGGTACAGACGGCTGACCCTTCGTAAGGACGCAGAACGTCAGACAACGGTAAATGGGTTGACAGAATCTGAAGGAGAAAGTGAAGAGCTCGAAGCTGTGGAGCGTTCAGTCTTAAATCACAGAGAGCTCCTTCGTCAGGTCGCATCTTACCCAAACAGGAAGCTCAAACAGCCCGACTTCTTGCCCTATGACCCAGCCACCTCTCTCACAGATCCATTGCTGTTGCCACCTTTTGAGCCATGCTTCTCGTTCTCCACCCCCTCCTCCAAGTCAGAGCACCACCTGAAGCCACTGGAGGAGCTTTGCAACGAATACTACCTGTCTCTTACGAAGGACCGGCTCAAAGACACAGAGCGACGTCTCCGTGGTGACAGAAGTGTCCTGCGAACTACTTATGCCACACAATCATTGTCCAGGAGACTAACGCTCACCAACTTCCTGTTTGAGCTATGGAGCCCGGACGATGCTGATGAAGAGGGCACTGAGGTGGAGCTGCCGAAGGACACGGGGAGTAAGAGGACTGGCGGGGCGTTTCAGCCAGAACCACCAAGCATGGAGTCGTTCTTCTCCTGTGTGGAGGAGATCCCAATCAAACTGGAGGCAGCAGAAGCACATACACTGACCCCTGGGCCTGGTCCTGGCACAGAGATGACGGGGAGTGTAAGCAGCAGTGACAGCATCGAAGTGCTCGGAACTGAGAAGTCGTACATGACGCAGCATGTCGCCGACAGCAGAGGTACGGCAGTGCGGAAACATTTCTCAAATAAATGTTTGGCGGATTGGGTATTTTTGTTAGTCAATTCATATAAGAACAAAAATAACAAATAGTGTCTGGTTGTTGATCAAGAGTGCCAAATATATCAGAACCGGCCCACCCAAAGGTCTAATCGGGTCCACTGGGTGGCTTTCAATAAACTCTGACATGTTTGATTTTGTCTTATATTAATTAAATACCACAGGGACTCAGTTTGAACATTTGATCCTCTGCTCCTGTGTGGATGTCTGGGATTTAAGCAACAAATGATGGTTTAAAGAAATATCAATGAAAAAAAGTCTTTCGGCTTTTCATTACATATCTAGTGAGATTAAATGCTTATTTTAAAATAAAAAATGAAACAAAAACCTTTCTCTTCCACAGACACACCAGTCGGAATGACAGAGAGTTGCAGCAGGCGTGCAGCAGTAGACACTGGCATCAGACACCCGCGAGCTTATGCAAAGCGTGCCAACAGCGAGGACAGCATTGAAGTGCTCAGCACCACAGAATCCATCCTTACCGAAGACCTCACCGCCATCACAGAGGAGGAAGCAGAGCTGCAGCCTCTGAGCAACGGCTTTGAGAATGAAGAAGAACCACAGATGGAGGATAAGTCTTACAAAGTCCTCCAAGAGGAAGAGACACTGAATGCATCTGCTGCAGTAGGCGAGGATGAAAATGATGGGCCTGATGAGGAAGATCAGTGTTGCGTTGAAAGTGAAGAGCCTTTGGAGCAAACAATGCTTACTGATAACATCATGATCAAAGAGCAGCCAGGCGCCATAAAGATGAATCAGTTTCGCAAAGACAATAGTGAAGAGAAGACCTCCAAACTACTGCAAGGTAACACGTTGTGCAACTATTCATTTCTCAAGCTCTCATTATTACATCCATGCTATAAAACTATGAAAAACATATATTCACTTTGTCGGTATGGTTTTTATCAGATTTAAATAAAATCTGCAGCAACACAGAAATGAATGAGAAGCTATTTTAAAAATGTGGAAAATATGCATTTGTAATCGTGGCTTAGTGCAAATTTACAGTTTGTTTTTTTTTTTTCTTCTGACATAATTTAAAATTATAACGGCTGATCATTTAATAAAGCGCTTAATTGCTAGGGAAAGTAGCTGATTACTGTAGTTTTTTTAAAACATATAAAATATTGTTATTACTCCACAGCTGACGAAGCGATGAAGCCCTCACCTGAGGTTCACCAGAAGGTGCGGCTGATGCCCCAGGACAATGCGAACTTTGCACCTGGTTCCTACATGGCCGAGGTGGATCGTTGGTCTTCCCCCCGCCCTCCCCTGAGGCTGCTGAGTGTTGATGAGGAGTCAACACTCAGCAGCATCAGTTTCACTGAATCTTCAGAGCCCCCATCCCCCATTCAAAATATCCACAGCAACATCTGCTGGGATAAGAGGAGGAGGAGAAAGGCTGGACTCAGAGCCCTCAGGTTTATCAAGCACAACTCGTTCTCCCAGCATGCAGTGTTCTGTCTCCTGAGTGGCCGGCCACTGGTTGTCATCGGAGGAGATGAGAACTTAGTCAGGAAGACTGTGGATGCTCTGACCCTCTTCCTGCCTGCTCCTGGTCCTCATAGAAGTGCTGTGAAGATGTGTTTGACCACGCCCCTTCAGCTGACTGACCTGCTCACCTGGAGACTGATGGGAGTGCACAGGTGAGGGCTATCTGCCATCCTGCTGTTTTGTTTGTTTATTTTTATGCATTTATTTTTGAGTTGGCAGTAAAGATTTCGGTAACAGGGTAGCTAGTGGCTAATGCTAGGTTACTGGTCAGCACTAACCAGATACCTGCTAACGTATAAATAAAATAATACTAAGATTTCACTCGCCAAAACCAGAGTACAGACTTGTTAAAATACATTACAAGTCCTGTTTTTTTGTTTCGTAACTACATTAAGGTAATTAAAAGTCAGCAACCTCATACCGATGAGATGTCCAGTTCATTGAGCTAAGGTTAGAGCTAGCACGCAGCTATGGCTTATATCCACTAGCCCTCAAATTGGCCAAACCATTAGTAATGCATGACTTTAAACCAAATACAGTTTAACTGGAGATCTTATAGAGAAATTTAAAAAGTATGACCCTCCCTACAGTTGTAATGAGCGAGGAGGGGACATTAGCCAAAAAGTTTTTGTCCCAGACTGTAAACATGTTTGTCTGCTGTCAAGTTGGGTGCTTTAACTGTATATAAACGCTTTTAATCAGGTGACCATTTAAGGCGAATGACTGCAGTTATTGGTCAGACCTGGAAACATTAAGTTCTGTCACCACCTTTACAAACTAAGCAGCTGAGGTTTATGCTTTTCGTTGTTTACTTGCTAAGTTTATGGGTCTAGGTATCTTCAAGTTGATCCGAAATGACAGTAAACTGACATGTGTAGAAGGCTACAGCTTATTTCTTTCTCTTTTTTTTCCTTCTTCAGCTTCAGGCCATAAATGAAATTTATTAATGTCACATCCATGTCATGGTTTCTTGCACCAGATCATCCTCAGCTTCTTTTTCCACCATCCTTCCTTCTCTGAGTCGCTACAGTCGTTATGTGGCTCTGCTGGACCTCGACCAGAGGACGCTGCGGTGCCCGTCTTACTCTGGTTCTCTTCTCAGCAGACTGGCCAATCCTCACACTGGTATCACCCGGGGCATCACCTACCTGCAGCATCTGGAGAGCTGCCTTGCTGCGCTGGTCAATCACGTACTGGTGCACACTTTTATACCTCTTTTTAAAAATCTATGCGTTGCTAAAGAGAAGGGTAACGCAGAAGAGGATTCCTGGTGTGAATGTGATTTGAGAGTGATGAGCTATCTGTCTCATCTCATTAAACAGCGGTATGCGGGAGGTGGACCTCCAGTGTTAAGATTTGCTTACAGCTCAGTGCAAATGCACAGAAACACAATGACATCATAGGCGTCCAGACGGAGAAAAAGAAACCCTGAATGTTTCGATGTTTCTCTAATTTTTAGGTTTGATCAACTGCTGCTGTGAACATTTCGGTACAAAAAAAATGTTTTTATGTGCAGTGTTAAATATAGATTTAGGTCACATCGTTGCACTAGTGCCTCACTTGGCACCAAAACCCTTCCACATGCTGGCAGCCTTATCATTTAATGACACATGAACTTGTAATTTAAGAAAACTGAGCCTTATCTGAACACTGTGCAATGTAAGCAAGCCTGTAACCTCTATAGAGTACTGTTTACTATAGAGTACAGCACGACATCCACATGACATGTAGGTCCATTACATCATTACTTTGTAAAAACCTGTCACCCTGCCTTTAGCATGTCTGATAGTCACAAATAACTGGCAGCCTATAGTTATTCTACGACTATTAATGATAATGCGGCCCATGCAGTAGACCTGCAGGTCTTTTGGATGTCAATGGGTTCTTGCTAAAGGTTAAACAGAAAGATCAGTACCATTTTGTTTGAACAGACAGTGCATTACATTGAATCACCCATCACCAAAGTCTCAAGTGAAGCATTGGTGGAGAAGTGTGCACTGTTTTGTAAAAGCTGTATGTGGTGTAAAGGTATGTGTACTTTTAAAGCACTTTACAACTGAGTACTCGGGTGCTTTTTACTGCAAGCCTCATTCAAACAAGCGCATTTTTCTATACTGGAGCCTTGTCACACATTTGCACAAACACTGAGGGATGCAGCAGGGGCAAATGTTTAGTATCTTGCCCAAGGATATTTGATGTGCAGGCTGGAGAAGCCAGGGAGTGAACTGATCACTAATGTTTCTTGGCTGAATTGATAATGGATTTATAGTGTTGGCATTATTATGCCAAAATGGTTAGCTTGCATGAACACCATCCCTCGATTATGAATTTGTAGGATTTTTTTTTCTTTTTCAAATTAAGCAAACAGTCCATAGCACTTACAAATTTTTTTTTTAAAATTGATATGGTTCAGGTACCTCTTTTCCACTGTAGTAGTGCCAGTGTGGGCGCAGATTCAATTCTGCACCAGGAACCACGGATTTCCTTAGAATTAAAAAATTATAATGTTTTTGTAAAAAAAAAAAAAAAATCCTTACTTTTGTCTATAAAAGTACACATTACACCATCAGTTACTGTGGTAACTAGAACTCCATAAAAGCCTGTTAATCCAACCGTGATTTTTTATTTTTTGTATATAACACACGATTTGAAACAATAAAGTGCCTTTATAAAATGACAGAGCAACAACTGTTGTTTATCTTGCTGTGGAGACAAAATCATTTTATATTCAAGCAGCGATTCAGCAATCTAATGCATAAAACTGTCTTTTTATTTATAACTGTAACATTAACATTTATGAACATTAAAAAGGTGAATCAATATCAATTCTCTTGTCATCAGATGGTGAGTAGTAGTGCCAGTGTGGGCGCAGATTCAATTCTGCACCAGGAACCACGGATTTCCTTAGAATTAAAAAATTATAACGTTTTTGTAAAAAAATCCTTACTTTTGTCTATAAAAGTACACATTACACCATCAGTTACTGTGGTAACTAGAACTCCATAAAAGCCCGTTAATCCAACCGTGTTTTTTTTTTGTATACAGCACACGATTTGAAACAAAGTGCCTTTATAAAATGACAGAGCAACAACATCCTTCTCTCTGACACTTGTACTGTTGTTTATCTTGCTGTGGAGACAATAAAATCATTTTATATTCAAGCAGCGATTCAGCAATCTAATGCATAAAACTGTCTTTTTATTTATAACTGTAACATTAACATTTATGAACATTAAAAGGTGAATCAATATCAAGTCTCTTGTCATCAGATGAATAACAGAAGTATGTGCATTGTACCAACATGAGCTGGTGTGAGGACGCAGGTACAGTCGGGCATCTGTAAGACGCTGGCGACTCTCCGCAGTATTTAACCCTTTGTGGAAGGCAACAGTGCTGTAAACAGTGTTTAAGACTTCTGTAGCTCTGCAGGGGGTAAGTATGTGCAATCAGGATGCACTGGAACAAGAAGAAAAGTAATGACAATGAGATTCAGTCAGACACACGTGCAGTGCTGAAATGATCACATGGCTGTTAGAATTAAAAAAAAAAAAAAAAAAAATCCTTTATCAGACAATATTTCATAGTTAAAAAGTCCTTGCTTGTCCCACTTGTGCTGAGGTAATGTATGAGTCGGCATAAATATGTAGCTCTAACGCTTTTAGAGCCTCTCTTCCCTCCGTCGCAGACACTTAACGCACCTGCTGCATCCACAAAGCAACTTGCATTGTGGAGGAACCGCACACACACTCTTCACCCTGCTGCCTTCTGGCAAGAGGTACTGGAGTATTCAGGCCCTCACTGCCAGACTGAGACAGTTTCTTCCCAAGCTGTTAGACTCCTGAACACTCAGTAACTGGACTGACACACATGCATACCTTCATACACGTCAATACCAAGCACTTATCTGCAGAATCACACACATTCAAACACCAAGTTACTTTTTGCACATTTCTATTGCACTGTTCTGTCTGTATCGTTCTGTCTCTTGTTGCACTGTCTTTGTTTTTGCACACTGCACTTTATGTAGTCCTGTGTTGATTATCTGTTCTATGTCATATGTAGCACCACGGTCTTGGAGGAACGTTGTCTCGTCTCATTGTGTACTGCACAACTGCACATGGTTGGAATGACAATAAAGCCACTTGACATCACACTCCATTTTTATATTTACATTTAACGCACACAAACTTTTTTGGGGAACTGGGATGGTATTAAATCAAAGCTTTTCTGTTTCTGGAAGTTAATTTGATTAGCTAAAGGATGCTGAGATTTGTAGTGGTTTATCTCAAGACTTGTTCACATACCTGCTGTTTTCCCTCTCCTGTGCAATCGCCTGAAAGAATCTTTTCAGATGTTCTTCACTGGAGGAAAAACTTTCACAAAGCCACCTAAAGGCCCATGAATTCTCCTGCAACACAAGAAAGCTGATTAAACAACAAACAACAGCACAGCCCCCGAGAATTCAAAGTGTGAAATTATAGAATCTTTTCAGTCAATAGTGACCCCAAACAAACAGACAAAGCATACAATTTTAAAGTTGTGGTGTCATATGTTTAACTGCAAGTAACACTCTCACCTAAGAGAAAGCATCCTGCATCCTAAGTGTAAAAATGTCAGAAGAAAGACTTCTGTGAACAGCTGGAAACTACACACTAAACTTCAGCTGCTTTTATTAATTTGGAGAGTTATTTATCCATTACTGGTGTGTTAATCTGACCTGTCACAGGTGGTTTCCATCACAGATGAGACTTGAGTGAAGAGCTGGATCTTAAACATTTCTTTAGAGAGCAGCTACAAAATTGTAGATCAAAGTAAGAGTCCTGACAGGGACTAGAAAGAGAGAGCATATTTCTCCTGTTTTGGCTTCCCTTCATTGGCTTCCTGTTAAATCCAGAATTGAATTCAAAATCCTGCTCCTCACATACAAGGTCTTAAATAATCAGGCCCCATCTTATCTTAATGACCTTGTAGTACCATATCACCCTATTAGAGCACTTCGCTCTCGCTCTGCAGGCCTACTTGTTGTTCCTAGAGTATTTAAAAGTAGAATGGGAGGGAGAGCCTTCAGTTTTCAGGCCCCTCTTCTGTGGAACCAGCTTCCAGTTTGGATTCGGGAGACAGAATTAACTGAGGGAAAACAGTGTGTGGCTCCAATAACCAAAGACACGTGGATTTTATGACTCTTCCACAGTGTGTCTTTTGTTTTGTTCCCCCCCAGTCTTAAAAGGTAGGTTTTCCTCCCCACTGTTACCAGTTGGTTGGGTCATCTGTATTACCTTCCAATAAATCATAGCAGGAGGTGACTATTCCTGTGATTTGGTGCTATATAAATAAAAAATGACCTGTAATCAATTTGAGAAGAGTGAGGCTGAGAGTGATTCTCTAAAACAAGCTTTTCCATGTTTCTTTATACTGTACTTGTCTTATTTGTTATGCACGTCTGTTGTTTTGTAATTTGAGGGGGGGAAAAGGAAAAAAAGGAAGGCCATCCAGTGCCAAATGAAAAGATGCAGATCCATCCGCTGTGGCGACGCCTTGGGAAATAAGGGAGCCGCGAAAAGTACCTTTAATTATTTCTTTAGCGAGACAAAGATGCAAGAGACACTCAAACTGTCATGGTTACACAAAATTATAGCACCGTTATTGTTGCGTGTGCCAATAGAGCCCTTTACATGATATAGCTTAAGTATGTGAAAGCACAAACAGTGGCGTGGCGTCTATGGAAGGAAAGCAAGAGTTGGCTACCTGAAAGGTGTTGAGCACAGGTAGGATCGGATACAAAACGGAATCGAGGATTCTTTGGCTCAAAGCTTCCGTCACCAACAGGAGCAAGGCCTGATCTGGATACACCTGCGAACACATTGGACTGTTTAGTTCTCGCAAATTCTAAACACTGAAGTGTAAGTGTTAATGCACTGACCTCATGCAAGGATCGTGGGATCTGCATATTGGAGCCCTTCTGATCAAGCAATATCCTTTTCACAACATCCCGTGCTTCCTTCATCATTCAGACATCGAGGAGACAAAATACAGAATGAAACAAAGCAGAGAAACATGGAGAAAGCTGCAAGTCTAACTCTAACAATCAAGAAGTACACACCTGCAGAAACTGCATACTGGGCATGGGTAAAGCAGTGAGTGAACCGCAAGGCTTGTTGACAATCGAGAGCAAACTGGTCCAACACCGAGACTGGATCAGAGGAGTATTAGACATGCAGTCAGACATGGGACATACTAGTCAAGGTTTTAACAAGTATAAAATGTACCTAAACCAAGAAATAAAGATGGCAGATATCTAGAGACAAAAACATTTTTCAGACTTGAATGAGGAGCTTTTAACTTACATCAGCATATACAGCACTGCAGCATCCCTGAGCCCTGAGAGCAAACCTCACCAGCTCATGACGTTTCAGCGGCACAGCATCTACACACAGAGGGGAATCAGATTTCTTATCAATCCTTGTTTTATACTAAATCTTATCCTGAAGCTACGTTTACACTGCAAACCTCATTGCTTCATTTGGATATTTTGCGTTGATTTTTTTTGTTGAACTGTTCATATTAATGATGCAATTGTGTGGCCAAAATCAGATTCCCATGTGACCTGATTCATATGCTCTTGTTACTGTTCTTACAGCAACAAAGACTTCTCACACAGGAGGCGGTCATACAGAAGCAAGCAGAGGTCACAGTTAGTATAACTTTAAAGGGCTGTAGCTGCGATCACATGACATTATTGTGCATGTGACATCTCTATTGAGGTGTATGTGGATGCACAGTTGAAGCGGGAATGTGGTGGAGTGATGACATGAATGGCTTCAGTAATGCACTTTCAACTGAAAATTTCGTGATAATTACAGTAACACTAAGAAAAATCAGACACAAGCACAAACTGACTTGGGTCACTTCTGAGCTTGGTACAAACCCCCCCCCCCCAAAAAAAACAAAACATCTCTGCTGGACCTTCAATAGACTCCCACGCTGCACCAGCACAGCAGAGCTCTCCCGGTTTACTGACTGGTGTCAGCTTTGGTGCAGTCGCTGTTTCAAAGACTTTGAGATAAAAGAGGAAGAGGTCCGGAGTAAAGTGGGAAGCGGGAGCATTCACCGAGGGGAACAAACTTGTGAGAGCTGATGAAAAGTCTCCAGCCATGCACATGAAGTAGGGGATGAGGTCTTGTATCTGCTGAAACCTGACAGAGAAACAAATCCAATGCAGCAAGTCAGCAACATGTCACTGCTGGTGTCTAAATATTTAAAAGTTTGATTTGAGATTTTAGTTTCTCTATAAATGGTAACTGCAGATTGACAGTCATTTCCGAACCTATATTTAACGAATTAATGAACTCCAGATGGGGTTTTAAACTATGAAATATGGAAGAGCTACAGTTTTCCCCTTTTTCAATTAAAAATGTATTATCCATCCTAGACTGGAAGAAGAAGATTGAAAATGTGAAGCAAGTGCAGAAGCGCCTCAAACCTCCCCTCTTCCTAATGGCCGTGGCGTGGGGGTGATCGGCTTATAGTTTTTACTTTGTAAATGTAGAACAAAACACGTTACACCTACGACACTGATATCCTGATCCAGGAAACTGTCTCACTCTCGCCTGCACCTGGATCAAGGATTTTCTTACAAAGTGCCGACAAATAGTCAAGCCTGGTCCTCACCTCACCCTCAAAACACCACTCAATGCTGGTTATGTTTTTAAATCATGTACTGACATGACAATAACACAAAATGCACTTTACTGGAAAAAAAAAAACAAAAAACAGAGGAACCTGTGCATGTACTCACTGTGCGGTGTCGTCTGTCTGGACGACTCGCAGATATCGACACAGCTCTCTGTACCTGCAGACAGAAACAACACAGTTAGACAGCTGTCTACACACAGCAAAGTGGATGAGTTCACGTATACAAACCTGCGCTGATGCTGCAGTAG